TGCCTTAAGTTGTTATTCATTGCTTCTTGTTGTGGTCTATTGTCTAGATTTCAATGCTACAGTGACACTGGTGGAATACTACCTATTTAAGACAGATTGTGGATAAAATAGTATACAAACCTCGATGGTCAGTGGTTCATATCCAATGCCTCGCGCTTATACCTCAGCTCTTGGCGTAGGTAATGAACCACTTCCCAGCTCGGTATGTAATTTACTTGATAAATAATTATCATTGCCACCCACAGTTAGTAAAGGAAGTATTGCATTGCATTGGGTAAAAAATGACCCCCAAATTTTTTGGATGGAAATACACATTTCAAAGTACCAGGAATCCGAATCTAACAAAATCTCGATGGTGTGTTTGTATTCTCATTTCTGGCTGAACTGATGGGAACCAAATTTGGTGCACATATTCTTAGACCTAAATAGAAATGCTTTTGGGCAGAATCGCAAGTGTATCAAACTCATTTAAGGCTGAACCGATTGGAACCAAATTTGGTACACATATACTTAAAACATAAAAGGAAGACCTGAAAAGCTTTTGGGGAGAATCGCGCATGTACGGGTGGTATCTGTGCTGGTGACAACAAATTTTTTTTAATGTACACAATTATTCACTTATTAGTGAAAGCGAGAAATACCCTATTAATGACAAAGTACATTTTAAAAAAATTAAAACAGGGTGGGCATTATTAGGCAAATAAGACAAAAATTTGGCTGAACCCGGACATTTGAAATAACAAGCTACAAATTGGTAAAAATGTTACAGACAATGTCTTAATTTAAATTCCAAAATTCCCCAAAAAATCTATCTTTGGAGGAAATCCGCTATCTGGGAAAAACTGGCCCCTTATTGGAATATTCTAATTTTAAGCATAGCCATTGAATTTAAAACTATAAATTCAATGGCATAGCGAATGAACCGAGCATCCAATTTGATTTATTTTTGTTATTCGTCTAGCTGTCTAGTAGGTGATGATAGGTACAGTTAACTGTGATGAAGTTCTCCACCTGGTTTGCTAGCAATAAAATCAATCACGGGGAGTAACGTCCACTTAAAACGAAACAACCTTTGTTACAGCATCTAGAATGGCCACGATCAAAGACACTGTCGCGTTGAACTCAACCCCAACCACCTTGTTCACCGATTGCTGTGTGTTGCGCGTGACGATGATGAGCTCAAAGAGTACTAGGAGATATGAACTTGCACTACTTGCAGCAAAACCTACTGCGCTTTTGGCGCACTTGAAATGTACTTGACATTTCAAACTATTGACCAATCATAAGCATTTCGGATGACCGTATCGTCGGATTTCGTACTTAAGCTGGATTCAGATGAATACGAAATCCGACGATACGGTCATCCGAAATGCTTATATGATTGGTCAATAATTTGAAATGTGCTTGACATTTCAATCTATTGACCAATCATAAGCATTTCGGATGACCGTATCGTCGGATTTCGTATTCATGTGAATCCAGCTTTATTCATGTGAATCCAGCTTTATTTTCCGTTTCTCAAAACCGTAGAAATCTCAGACCATATAGTACATGGACTGCTAATTGTAACTAAAATATGGTCAAGGACATCGCCTGGGTATGTGAGTTTCAGGGTAAACGAGTCTGTCCGAAGTTGTCCGATTAGACACGATTTGAGACTGTCTTAACCTATAAATTAACAAACGTCAATTAATTAATCGTCTAGATATGCCAAAAAAAGCAAACCTATTCTTATTTGTGGACGTATAGAAGATAATCAAGAGTATTTAAAGCTTCCCGTACTACGCGGTTACTATAAAAGCTACTCTTTACGTGATACGAGTGGTGTTTACACGACTTTAGTTTACCCTTAGATTCACATACCCACGACTACTAGTGCCCTCTATCTGTGACCACTCATTTTGTATTAAAAGCATAGGGCTAATAGCAGTCCATGTACTATATGGTCTAAGGTAGAAATCCACAAAATAAAAAATTACATTTTTATAAATCAGTGATGCTTTGGAATCTTTTAACAAACCACAATAGCGCATATCGCATCTCAGTTATCGTTTTTTGACGTCGAACGATTTTCATATTCAATTCTGTTTTAACTAACCGATGCAAGAAAAAGCGTCTATGGGGTAGTGTTTTTTTAAGAGAACGTAATGCTGCATCTGCATCAGAAATTATTTGTTTGTCATCTTCCGGAACCAGAGAACATAATCGAAGAAAAAGAAATTGATTTGAGGAAGAATTGTTCTTAAATATTCGGATTTTCCGCTACTGCAGCCAAAACGTAGAATGTATTGTCGTTTTCCTGATGGTTTTGACGGACATTTTGAACTTCATTGCACAACTTTAACATTTCTTGTTTCTTTTCAGTTAAATACCTACATGATAAACAATTTATATTAACTAATTTATAAACAAGTAGGTATAAATTTAATATACGTCACAAAGGCAAATCATGAAAAGTTATCGCTGTTTTTTTAAGTAATTCCAAGGCATATCTGATTTTTTATTGTAAAATGAACCTTTTTATTTTTTCTATTTCGGTGTCACAATGAGAATTTTGTGCAACTGTTTTCGGCAAAAACAGTGTTTCAATGAGTTCCATTGTAACATTGTTTTTGGTAACTTTTCATCTCTAAGTTGGCAGTTCGCCAAGACGTCAACGTCAAATCATCAGATGTGAAATCAAATTACGTAAAATTTATGTGTTTTCCTTGATTTTTGGTACACGAAGAACTTAATACATTCCAAATCAGCAGTTTACACATCCACCATAAATAAATTTATCTACGAATAAAAAATTACACATTCACGGAATTTAAAGTTTCCAAATGTCAGTGTTGTGTTTATCTACGCTGCCAACTTAAAATTTGTCAACGTAAATGGTGTTGCCAACTTAAGACATATTAATTCTAAAGTTTCCTGTAGTTTTTCATAATTACTTTTTAATTAAATTAAAGCCCCGAAATAGAAAAAATAGTATGAAAAACACGTGTTACAATGCTTTATTGTAATACTCCTATCTTGTGGACACTCGTGGCTCCGCTTCGCTACGCCACTCGTGCCACAAGATAGTGGTATTACAATAGGCCGCATTGTAACACTTGTCTTTCAATATACTATTGTCGATTTCTACGGTTTGAAAAACGGAAAATTATGAGTAATAGTATGAACAGATGCAGTATTTTTTTCTCCGAAAAAAACGCATTTAGACTTTTGCTGTAAAATAATAGGGTTTATAGTAAGTAATTGACTATAAAGAAATTACCATTGAAATTCCTATGCTGCGTCGCGCTAGGCACCACCCTGTATAGGTACATAATATACTATAAAAAAAATACTTACCTTATAAAGAGTTATTCAACAACTGGTCCTTTTTTAAAAAGTACATAAAACACATTCAATTTGAATACAATGATGAAATCTGTATTATCAATTGAAAGAACATTTTTTGCGATTAATTTAAATTAGCTACGTTGTTGATGGCCCATTCTTTGAGAGTTTGAGCTCAATTTTCTATCACTCCTTCAAGCATTTCGACCGGAATCTCACGAATAATACGCACAGTGTTTGCTTCCAATGCTTCAATCGTTGTCGGTTTATGGCAAAGACTTTTGATTTGACGTAGCCCCAAAGGAAAAAGTCCATTGGCGTACCTAATATCGCGCGCACTATCTATAAGGTGGCCACTCACCCGTCCAAAACGTGAAATCAGCTGCTCTTCGAAATGACCTCTCAAAATATTCATTGTTTCACGAGCTGTGTAATGGCAAGATGCACCGTCTTGTTGAAACCAAATGTTGTGGAGATCACGGGCTTGAATTTCAGGTATAGCAAAAAGTCTGATACCATGGCTCGATAGCGAGCACCATTCACAGTTACGTTCCGGCCATCATCATTTTTGAAAAAATACGGACCGATGATTCCACCAGCCCGTAAACCATACATCAGCACGTTGTTTTCGCTAAGTATAACGGTAGCACTTCAAACTCTTCGGGCTGCTCTGCAGCGCAATACTACAATTTTGTTTATTGACGAAAAACATTCTTTACAGAACGCTGATTTTCATAATAAATTTGAACAATTTGTTGTTGAAATGTAACTAAGGTTTTCCATGATTAAATGGCAAACAATACTGAGTAGACACGTCGGTTGAGTTTGATAGTAGTGGTGCTTGATTTGCCAAAAAAATACGTATAGAAAAAAGAACCAGTTGTTGAATAACCCGTTACTAACAAGAGATACTTACTTAAGTGGTGTAAGGCAAAGGTTTCCAAAATTGGTCAGAACCGTCTACTATGCGGATGGCTCCTTAAAGCCCGTTTTACATATATACCTACCTTAGTTTTACAAAGAACCGATGATCAGGACTACAGTGACTCTACATGTACCTAGAGACAGTGTGGTCATACGGTGGTGTTATTTTTTATTGATAGTTTGGAGATCCGCCACGTTTCGACCAAATACATCGGATTGGTAGAAATTATCTTGGAAACTAAGGCAAAGAATTTTATTGCTGGACAAAATTGTGACAGCATTATTGTAACCATACCAAAATCTACTTAATTCCGTTAAATCAATCAGCTCAATAAAATTAGAATGACCGACATGGAGCATTTATGACTGTCATTAAAGTTAAACTGTATAAGTATCTGTAACTGGAAGGGCATCGATAACCAAAATCGCGTGCCGCATAACGTACAGGACTACAACCGGTATATTAAAGGTACCATCACTGCATCCATCTAAATGAGCTAAAGCTGCTAAAACTTCAAAATTTGGTAGGAACGATATAATCTTTTGACTTTGACGGGTGTCCTAACGGATCATTGTGGAATGAAAAGACTTCCACGATGTGTTCGAATTTAAATGTCGCATAGAATCAATTAACTCTTGGAAATTCGTTTAAATCAGATCATCCTATGCGATTAGAAAAGTCACCCAATAAGTTTGATCTTATAGCTGTCAATTTTGATTTGAAGTTAGAAAACGTGGTATTTTTGTAGTTTCGTCTACATACAATTATTATTGTACAGTTTTTAGTTTCCATGAAAAGTACGTCTTTTTGTAGGAACGGGCAGCGCTGTAAATCGTATTTATAAAATTCCGTCCATATAAACATCTTCACGTCATGGCAGAGAAAGATTTAGCGGCGGAGCTGTGGAACTACAGTGCAACTGGTACGTACGTAAAGTTGTTTTTAACTCGTAGTCAGTAGCAACATGGCCGAGCAATATGATGTTTCTCCAACAGAAAAGAAGGAATTGCTGGATCGTATGAAAAGAAGAACGGCTCTAAGGGAAGAATTTTTAAGATTGTCTACTAATCCTCATCGACACAGCTTGAGCGAAGGTGGCGTTGTGGTAAGTTAGCTTTTGTTTTTTAAACGTAACCCAGTTTGGTTATGTTAGCCATGTTAGGTAATAATGCGGTGTTGCCATTGCTATTGTTTGGATTTTAACTCGAAATTTTTTACTCGTAAGTTTTTAATCAAATGCAGACGCTTTTGCATTCAATGTCCAAAAGTATTGAACTGAAATTAAATTAGTCCTTAACCATTGAATATTTAATTATAGACAATGAATAGATTCGGGGAAAACCACTTAAATTGCATGTAGGCAGGCAACCCAACATGCCGTTGTGTTTCAGTGTGATTTCATAGCATAGCGGTGAAATCTATAAATGAATTTCATCTATGTTATCATGGTAGCCTTTTATGTAATGGATTGGTTGAAAGTTTTTAGTTATTTTTGAAAATATTCGGAGATGTTGAACAGTTGGGCATATCGGTGCGGTTTTTTTTGCACGCAAATGAATGAACAAACTATGAATAAAACACAAATTGATGCAATATAATTTTTTAAGACACGTAAATAGTAGATAGAAAGCGTTAGATTAAAGTCTTAAGTAAATAAAGTAAAACAGAAGAATTGTAAAGTTAGGTATATTATTTTTTAAAAGATGTAAAAAATTACATTTCTGGATAAACTGCATAACTAGCAATTCCACAGTGGTTGGTTTCGTTTCTGGAAATTCTTGCGTAACCCTTTTCTCCCCATTCGTCACCGTAAGAATTTTTCACAATCCAATATTTCTGCCCCTTTTCCTCGCCATATCCGACCAACAACACGGCGTGATTTAAATATTCGATGGACGATTTGCAATCCTTTTCGTAGTATATTCCACCACCATAAAATTGCCAGTTTTCAGAGGAAGCATCCATACCGACAGCAATCGGGCCGATATTATGCAATGCCTCTTTTAACGCATTTTCGTCTCCTTCTTCGATCGTAACGTACGCTAAAAAGCAATTTGTAAAATATTGTTTCTTATACTTAGTACAACTCTTACATTGAATGTTGGCCGCCACATTTTCTGTTTTTGCTTGACATTTATCTCCAGTTTCTGCAGTGTAGGGGTAGGACACGTCAGTGACAAGTCCTTTGTCCTTAATATAGTCATAGGCTGGCTCCAATGAACCACCGTCACAACCGTAGTTCTCATAGGGTTCCACCAGCGAACAATCTAGTACTTCTTGTGGACTGATGTCTTGAAGTTTTTTTGTTTTAATAGCAATGTGACTTTCGACAGCAGCGGCCTGAAATATTTTCCTGTATCATTCTAGTTTGGTTCAAACTTTCAACTACTTACCGATGCGAATGCATAACACGAAGCGCATTCGCCTTGGTTTTTAACCGAAGTAACAACACCCTTGTCCCTCCAATCAAATTGATCTACTACAGGTTCATTTTTAGGGACGTACTTCTTTACAGGACGATTCACTCGGAAATACGCTTTAATTTTCAAACCGTTTAGAAGCTTATTGAATTCTGCTGATATTAAATCGCAAAACTGATTCACTTTCGCCAAAAATGGCAAGTTTGCTATTTGCGTGAGTTGATTGATTTTTTCGTAATTGACGGAGAAAATCTCTAATCTCTTCTTTTCTTCTTCTGGAGTGGCATACTTTTTGCCAAATTTGCTCTGTAATTTCAAAAATGAAATCCTGGAAGCGTGTAGTTAGGGATTGATTATACCTTGAAGTTATTGAATTGCTCTGTAAGCAACTTTACTGTGAATGTTAGCGGTTTTGCTGCGATTTTCACGACAGTTTCAAGCGGTTTTGGTAATGGCAATAATTGTGATTCGGCCCGATGTACCAGGAAAACTCCCGCTAGCAGCAATACAATGGCGAGCTAGTAGATAGATACAGAATTTCGTTACGATTTTTAAATGCATTTAAGCAAAAACGAACAGTAGGTAAGCCACAGATCGTGGTATTAAAAAAAGAGATTTCTGTTCTGCCCTTCGCTACACTTATCACAAAATGTGATAAATGTTGCGCTATAAAAAATTATACTTCTTACCTTCATGGTTCACTTATTTTGACTGTTTCGTAGTTTAACTCGATATTCTTTTAAGATCGAAGTCCCCCTCCCATTATCGGTTATTTATTCCTTATTTTCAATGTTTTCTCGTATACCACTGATAAAACATTTTTTACGTACAAATGTCACAACCCACTAAATTAATTAATCGTTAATAGTTACTTAATTATAGAAAATGTCAACAACCAAGATACTGACTCACGGCAACTTGTTTTTTGTTTCGCTTCTTGTAACCTGTTTTGTATTTTGGTCCGGTGTAGGCATATTTTTACCATTTGAAATATTTTGAGGACCCATTAAATAAATCGTACTACCTATACAATTATGTTAATCATATATTAGCATTGTTAATTAACTTACAAATATTTCTAGTGATGACCATCAAGGGCTCAATAAAATATAAGCCTCGAAAATAAGTTATTAATACTGATGAGTTTGCCAGAAATTCCAAGTAATTGCCGTTTACAAATGGAGACTATTATGTAAAATAAACGTCGAGATTAATTGTGTATAATCTAAGTTAAGATATCGTCGAGTATAAATTTAGATAATGGGGTCTGCTTTTTTTTTTATTTTATTTTTATTTTATTTTTTTTTATCATGGGGTTCTGCTTTTTTTTAAACTTTTATAAACAATAACGACGTTTTGCCATTAGAACGATCAGTGGTGAATTACGTTTTCTATTTCTTATAGAGAAGCGCCATCATCTAAGACCTTGCTGACGACCATGAGCTTCATAGTTCAATAGCATTACCTCGAGCATTACTTTACATAAAAATTGATTAAAACATTTTTAATGAAATTAATTCCCCTTTGCTAAGTAATATAACAGTCATTTAATAAACTACAGTTGATACATATTTATTTATGACGTTAATTCTAACTAAGAAATGTCAGTGCACCAGTTTTGTTGCGAAAACGTCTAAATGCATTATAATGCGTTTTACTTAATTTGAAAAGAAATTTTTCATTTTCGTTTTTAATTTTTTCATGATAAACTAATCGTACTAAATTAATTTCTAACCAAAACAGATGGATGGTTTGATTTCGTTAAATTTTGGAGACACAGTGATCTCGATCAACTTTTGAAAAATCCAAAGAACTAACTACACACATGTTCACTTTTACATAGTTCTTAGGCACGAATAGAAAAATCTGACATGAAAACTGTATCTGGATCGCACTTTGGGTTCGATTAAACACACAGTTTAAATGATAAAAACACAAATTTATTACCCCACACATAAACGTTCGACAGCAGTAAGTAAATAAGGAACTTCAGTTCTTGATGACACTGAATTTAATGACAAAATTTGGTGGCTTTTCGGACGATAGTACACTTAATTTTTAATGAAAAGACATCCTTATATCACCATGCAACAAGTTGATTGGTCAACTCACACACGTACCAACTCTTTCTGATAACGGGTAACACGTTTTTAAAAAACAAATACTGCAATACAAATTCAAACGAAACGATCACACTTTATGTCCCAAATGTTTCTTAACTGCATACCGATAAGGCTTAGAGACTTAGAACCGCACATTTTTAGAAATAAAAGGAAACGCATTTTAATTCATCAATGTTGTTTCAGTGCTGTAGATTTTTTTAAATGTGACTTTAATCAAAGATGTGTCCACGATTAGTTTTGTTTGGCAATGGAGTACTTTTTTGTGATGTTTGTAACGTATACACCACTTGTTATCTGTATATTTATAAGCTTTTTAGACTGGCAATGATACTATATTTCAGGGGTGGCCAAACTTTTTACAAGACCCATTTCCTCGGCCATTTCTTTTTGTATGAAATTTGCGAGAGCCACACTTCCCATCATTGGCGAGAGGGCGGGGAGGGGTCTAGGGTTTAACAAATTATTTATTTATCTTTCTTTGTGGTTAGGTTGGAATAGCACTTTCAGGTGCTGATTTGGTAATTGCGACCGTTTTAACACAATTTATAGTCGAGTACAATGCTTCAACATCATAACCTGATCCACACATTACATGGACTACTTATTATTAACTCCAGATCCACGAGCTCTGTTTCTTTTAATATGTTTTTTTGAAAGAGAAAACTTTTGTTAATTAGGTACACCAACTTCTAATGGATTTCATAGAAAAGCAATGGCGGGTTCCAATTGTTTTGTGAGTGAGCCGCAGTACAAACTTAAAAGAGCCGCACTTTGGCCACCGTTGCTATATTTATTTATTGATGACGATATGTAAGTACTTTATGTACACTAGCATGAAAATAAATTATTATTATCATTATTATTATTATGTTTATTCGTAAAAAACCCACTAGATTTAAACTTAAAAAAATTGAGGCATTTAACATTTAACATACAGGGTGGCCCAACCTTATTGAAGGTGCTGAAACCAAACTAACGCCTAGCGGACGTAGTTTATACAATAGTAGATAATCCAGTTAGAAGAATGTTCGGTATTTTATTATTAAAATGAAAATTTGAATTAATTTTAACCAATCTAACTGGTAATACCGGAGGTTCGATCGTAATGCTTAAGATCCATCCAATTTTCCAAAGTGTTACTGACTTCCAAAGGAGAAATCCAACTGACAATTGGAGAAAATTTCAACGCATCGATAGAAGTAAGTTCTTTTGAATTTTTTTGTTGTATAAAAATAGAAATCGATCGTTCTTGTGGACTTCGTGTAAGGAAGTGTGCATTTGAACTCATTTTTATATTCCTGAAGGGGTCGATTTACGCGAGTTGACAAATTTGTGTATTTTTGTATAAAATGATAAGCGCGTCCAGACCGTAGATATTAGTAATTTTTACCAGTGCCGTAGAAAATTTTATTTTTGGATCGCAGGGTGTTCAACCCCTGCAAGTGTAACTAGCCAGACACATGGTTTAAAGTTAATCATAGTTTATCCACTGCAACGATAGTAATCAGAATGATTACCATGGATATTAACCTATAATTAATCTAAAACACATTTTAAATCTCCCTGTGCAGCAAATGGCCATACGATATGGAGAAAGTGAGATGAGTTATAGAGAACAGTGCGAGAGCTTTTAAATGCTGCTAATTAGACAAAAAAACTAACAATTGAGCGATGCTAGTTAGCAGCATGTTGGTGTCTTTAGTATCCATTTGCGAAGAGGGGGGGGGGGGTAACATTTTGCGCATTGGCATCATCATGGAGACGTGGTCCTAGCTCATGGGATGAAGCGCCTGTACCAACAGTAGTGCCACAATAGTAATTAAAAGAGGACCGTTTTTTGTGACATTATTTATTCAATTCATTATTAAAATAAATCAGATTAAAAGTGTAGTTAATAAAAATATAAAAATGAATGACTAATATCCTCGCTAATATCTTATTTGCACCCTCAAACTAATTGTTACATTATATGTTTAAAATAGGGGGTAGACTGCGTAGCTCGCAATTCCGCAGTGGTTAGTCTCGTTTCTAGCGATTTTCGCGTAACCATTTTCTCCCCAACTGGTGCCATATGAATTTTTCACAATCCAGTACTTCATCCCGTTTTCCTCCCCATATCCGACCAATGTTACAGCATGATTTAAGTTCTCGATGGCCGACTTACAATCCGGCTCGTAGTATATGCCGCCGCCATAAAATTGCCAATTTTCAGAGGAGGCGTCCATACCAACAGCGATAGGACCTATATTAGAAAGAGCTTCTTTTAAAGCCTCTTCGTCTCCTTCTTGGATGGTAACATATGCTGAAAAGACAATTCCACGTTTCCATTACTTACACTTACAATAACGCTTACATTTGATATTGGCGGAGACCTGGTCGGGGCTCGCGTTGCATTTCTCGCCAGTTGTCGCCGTGTAGGGGTAGGATTGATCAGATACCACACCTTTACTTTTAATATAATCATAAGCTGGTTCTAATGAGCCTCCATCACAACCGTAGTTTTCGTACGGCTCGACTTGGGAACAATCCAGCACTTCTTGCGGGCTGATGTCTTGGAGTTTTCCCGTTTTGATTGCTGTTTGACTTTCAACCGCGGCAGTCTGCAAATGCATTTTTCATTTTGCAATGTTATATAACAAGCATGGTGTATAAGGGGTAGTTTGGAATTCTTCATTATTATAAACAAATGGAAGTAGGTAAGAGAAAAAGTGACCACGAACTAAAAAGTTTGACAAAAAGTTAGAGGTAAAAAAATTAATCCAAATGAGAATAAGGAGAAAATTTTAAGCAACGTGGATTCTGGATTGAGATTTGTTCGATGATTTCTTTTATGTATCAAGATATATGTGTTAATATCACGTTGGAATACTTATTGTCTATTAACCACAAATCAAACTAAAAAAGATCAAGTTCACTAAGAAAGTCAAAATTTTACTTCCAGAAGGGAGGTTCAACCCCCTCGTCAACCCCCCTATATGTAAAAAGCCTGTTCCACTTGAAGACTAAAAGTTTTTCCCGAAATTGGTATGTTTATGCCTACATCAAGGGGCCATCCACTAGCCACAAATTTGTACCAGTAATGCGGCATTACGCATAATTCTACGTAATGCAGGTTAATGCAATATAATGCAGCGTAACGTAATGCGACCTAATGCGGGCTAATGCAGCGTAATCCGAGATAATGCAATGTAATGCAATTTAATGTGAGAACTAATGCAATATTAAGTTGCGTAATGCAGAGTAAGGTGGCACGTCTACAAAATACAGAACAACTTGCATCCACAAACTAACCTAACAAATTCATAATAATAATGCCAAACCTCATCATTTAACGTCATTCTCGAGAAATAGGTATTGTATTTTTCGAGGTTTTTTTTTAAAGAATAAGGGCGATGCATTCATAGTGAAGCACCACTTTATATTTCACGAAATATTGCTACCAGAGTCAAATGGATAAAAATTGATCCAAATTAATCCATAATTTTGTGCAAAATTGATTAAAATTGCGTTACACAGATTCATCCAATTAAATAACAAGTTAAAAAGTAATCGTAAACGATTTACATAAAGCGCATTTCCACTTGCATTCATTTCCCATTTGTAAGATGCAACTTCTGTTAAAATCGTAAAATCCGGCCACAAATATGAAAGATAGCGTTGCACATGGGCAATCCATTGTTGACGTGCTACTTCAATTTCAGTTTATGAGAAGAATTTCATTTCAATGCTTTTTTAAATAAGAAAGTTGGAACTGCGCATGCGCAAACCTAAATTTTAAAACTAATGTTAGATTTTCCTTTGTTCCAAGCGCCTAAGTATCAAATTTCACTTAAATGGTTCCATAGATAAAAAAGTTGACACTGCGCATGCGCAAACCTAAATTTTGAAACTAATGTTAGATTTGCCTTTGTTCCAAGCGCCTAAGTATCAAATTTCACTTAAATGCTTCCATAGATAAAAAAGTTGGCACTACGCATGCGCAAAATAAAATTTTGAAACTGGCGCTAGATTTTCCTTTATTTCAAGTGCCTATGTATCACATTTCATTTAAATTCTTCCATAAATAAAAAAAGTTGGCACTGCGCATGCGCAGAGCCAAATTTTGAAACTGGCGTTTGATTTTCCTTTATTCGAAGTGCCTATGTATCAAATTTCGTTTAAATTCTTCCATAAATAAAAAAGTTGGCACTGCGCATGCGCAAAACTAAATTTTGAAATTGGCGTTTGATTTTCCTTTATTCGAAGTGCCTATGTATCAAATTTCGTTTAAATTCTTCCATAAATAAAAAAGTTGGCACTGCGCATGCGCAAAACCAAATTTTGAAATTGGCGTTTGATTTTCCTTTATCCCAAGTGACTATGTATCAAATTTCGTTTAAATTCTTCCATAAATAAAAAAGTTGGCACTGCGCATGCGCAAAACCAAATTTTGAAATTGGGGTTTGATTTTCCTTTATTCCAAGTGCCTATGTATCAAATTTCATTGAAATACTTTTGTAAGTAAAAAAGTTTGCAATTCGGTTTATAAATGGTCGAGATGCGAAAAGGGCACTGTGATTTTTGAATCGATTCGATTCAACTTTTGGCATTGCGTATTATATGGCTAAATCTATGCCCATATTGAATTTCATGCAATTCAGTTCATAACTAACGGAGATGAAAAAGCGATCGAACATTTCTAAACAAAGTTATCGTTCACACGGACAGATAGATGGACAGACAGACAAAGGAACAGACGGACAGACCAACAGGCAGACAACAGATAGCAATGCAAAGTTATAAACGATCTCTAGGATCGTTAATAAACGGCAAAAGTGTAAAATTATGGAACATGTAAAAAACGGTTTTTTTGTTTTTTTTTACAATAACTTTTTTTGTAAGCGGTACAGAAAAAATTCCTTCCTTGGTACAAGACTCGACACCATAACGAACCAAATAGCGAAAAAAAGTAGAACAATAGCTCTTAAGATAAAGAACTAGTAGCGTCGCAAAACGAGCGGACGGACGGACGGACGGACAAAGTGGCCACAATAGCGCATTTTATTTTTATTTTTGTGGAAATGCGCTAAAAATGAGGTGAGTGGTGGTGGGTAATAAAACTGCAGGTTAAGTATATTTTTTTATTTCCATCAACATCTTCGTTTATGCTTGATGATTAACTGAGGAACAAAGGCATTTATCATTTCTTTTTATTGCAAAGGGACCATTATGTAGCAGTTCTACTGGTCAATGAAAAATAAATCGTTCTTCCACTAACTGAACATCTTTATTTTTCGGCCACATGAATGAATCCAGTTCAGATTTAAGGAATTTTATTGGATATATTTGTATCAACTGATAGTATCCTTCCATTGTACCAACTACTATCGTAATAAACAGCATAATATTGTTCAATTTTGATCTCTTCTTTTTCTTCCGGTTTCTCTACTTCGCAGAATACGTCCGCTATCAGATGAAAAATTTGGCATATTGGCGGAACTGTCTGAACTGGATTCATCCGAGGATTCATCATTCCGTTCTATATTCACTACCTTTTTCTCAGACTGTCGTTTTTTTGTTTGTTCTCCTCTGAGTTCTCCTCTGAACCTTGATACCCTGTCGCTTGACAAGCGTCCAGAATTTTCTGCAAAAAGCCAACACACCTTACTTTTTTTGGCGGTTATTCTATTTCCCACTTTAACTCGTAGTAAAGAGGTAGGTATTCTCCTTCTGATTTGTAGCCGAGTAATCTTTTATATTTTTCACTTTAATATTTCTCAGATCTTTTAATTCTTCTGTTATTCCTTCTTCTTGAGCTTCCGTCTCTTTGTCTAAGATGATTTCCTTTAATGATATACTGCCGAGTCTAGCTCGATATCTAGTTATCTACAGTATGTCGAAAAAATCTACCAATGATTTAGTATCTTTGTTACACTTAGATAGACACCTATCTCAAGTACAGTAGTATACAACCAAAATTGCGGCTATATTAATATCAATATTCGCTGTTTTAAGTACTTTTATTAAAGTTGATTGGTTCCAGTACTGTAGAAATATTGCAAAATAGTGCAGGTTAATGCAGCTTAATTCAGG